TCTCTACTAGTGTATATTATTCTGATTAGACTAACTTAATTCTATCATTGAAATGTTATGAATATAATTTTTGTAAATCTTAATCCATCTGAAGTTTGAATCACTTGTAAAAACATAGTATTTATTTTAATCCATATATATTCTAAAAATTCATTCATTTTTGTTGCAGAGAAATTAAGTTAATGAAGCCCAGCTCGAAAGGAACTTGAATGTTTCAAATTAGAAGTTCTTACGACATATGTTGAGATTAAAGAACATGTAATATCTTAGTGAAAGGTTCAGGTTAGTCATAGTCCTCCTTGTCAGTTGCATGTTAAGTAAAAGATATATTGACTAGTTTTGCATGAAGTAGAATAGGTTCAGGTTAGTCATAATCCTCCTTGTCATATAATTTTTTACTCTATTCATTAAAACCTGATTGAATCTATAATGTTGACATTATACCATATGTTAAATATATCTTATAGTATTAACCATAACTAGAATATTATGCTACAAACTAGAACATTACACCATGAAGTAGAATTTATGACTTTGTTTCAATAATAATTGACATCGTTACTGTGTATAATGTTATGCATTTGTATTTTATCTGATTTTCTATAGAAACCAACTCCTTAATACAATGAAATGGTTTTTTTTTATTTCAAACAAAAAAAGATTGAAGATGGTTTTTTAGCATAAATTTGTTTAAATATATATAACACTACATATTTTCATAATTAGAACAATACTATGTTTAGCGTTTTATGTTAAGTATTGGTTATTCAGATATTCTCCATCATGAGGAAAATCAATCGGAAACCCAAGGTAATTTTGTTACCAATATCAATTGTTTTTATAGAATATTGATCATAGATTTATTAATTCCAATTATCAACATCGTGTTGTTGATTAGTTCATGTTACCGCATATTTTCTTATAGAATATTGAACATACATTTATGATTAAAGTCATATGAATGCACATTATTTTTATTATATGTTAATGTGGTGGTATATTATTTTTTGTAGTTCTAAGTGACAAGGTTGAATCACAATATAGCTCTTGTAAACAAATCATTTGACCTGATGGTTATTTCTTTTGGATTCCAGAAGTTGAAAGGAACTTGAATGTTTGAAGCTAGACTTTTTCAACTATATGTATCGAGATTAATGGATATGTAACAGATTTTATATGTCACAAACATGTAATAGATTTTTTATGGTTTTTGGTGCATTGTTATCTGACTATAACTTGATAAGACTTTTTGAGATTCCTATTCATCCTTTTGTCTAACAAGGTAACCAGATGATGGAGAATTATGATACTATGTTGAAATGTTGTTTTCAAATTATCAATGGTTTTCTAATCATTGAGATTATTTGTTTTAGTTTCATCGACTTTTGGCTTTTGATTTTTTCATTTATTCAATTCATGTACATAAACAAAATTAATATAGATACTCAAGATTCAACAATATTATAAAAAAATATGTCTTTATAAACAACACATTAATAATTAAACTAACAACATTCTTGTAACATTAACTCTTAATTCTATAATATTACATATTCCACTACTAGAAAAACAGCCTTTTTACGACGCGCAATGCGTGTCGTAAAACGCTCAGACGACGCGCAAATGCGTGTCAAGGAAGGTCCTGTCATAACGAGAGACGACACGCTTTTATGCGTCGTCTATAGACAACGCGCATTTACGACGCGCAGTTACGACACGCATTTACGACGCTCATTTACGACACGCAATGCGTATCAAGGAAGACCCTGTCATAAAGGAAGACGACACGCATTTGCGTGCGTAACCTTCCGACGCGCGTTTATGACACGCATTGCGTATCATTATAGCCCCTGTCGTAAATGAAGATGACACGCATTTGCGTGTCATAAAATTCAACAACCATTTACAATATGCATATACTATACTCTTTTACGCATAATACAAAAATATGGAAACAAATATATACCAAAACAATCAATTTCATCCATAACATCATGTTAAAAAATTGTTACATTGGTATTAAGGGGATCCGATTGTACATTGTTATTAAGAGGTTTTCTCTAACTATATAACCTAATACTACATTGCAATAATACCAGGCGACAGATTGCCATCTAGAATAACACTACAAGGCCGCATAAATACCATGTTCTTGCATTCTCATCACATTATAAACCAAACCTGTTTCAGCAAAGCAGATTACAACATTAGATTCAGCAAAATCAGAACAAGGTGCATATGTTGAGTCAAACTAAAACCATATTCTCAATCAACTGACAACTGTATCCAAATGCATACTATAGATAGAAAATTGTACCCTAAACTAATTGGATCAAAAACCCCTTTAAACATGGACATAAAAAAACCAATAAGTAAGGATGATTCAAATAGCTATAAAAACATGTGAGTGTCTGCATATTGACTTGTAGTTAACATATCACCAAAAAAATAGACCCTGAGCACACTTAAAGTTAACATTAACAAACAGAAGAAAGATGCATTCCAAATTCTGAAACCAGGATTAGAAGTGGACCCTGATAAAAACCCTCACTTTGATCCACGAATGGTAATATATAAAGTTACTCATTTGATTATATGATTAAATAAGTGTATTCTTACAGGAAGTCTATAAGATCATTTTCAACTTATTTTTAGAACGAGCTTTAGCAATTCAGTCATGTCACTTGTTGGTAGCCGAGAGCACAATACCAAAATACCAAAATCTATGTATTTCATTGCTACTTTTATTACTTTGTTCAACTAAAAAACCGATAAAACATAGAAACACGGAAAATACCAAAATCTGATGGAACAGATGTATGAGAAATTGATCCTCAGTTTCTGACCCTTGATCACAATATATTTAAATGTAAGTATGAATTATATATAATAAAAAAAATACCAAGTTCTTGTAAGTCGACATCTGGAGCTAGGAAAGAATTCTGTTTCATCTTGTTTGTATGAATTTGAAGAATTTGGAGACGACCATTTTCATCTGGAAGGCTGATTTCCACTTGGACTTCTAAACGACCAGGCCTAGCCAATTAGGAGATGACACATCAGCAAACATGGTAAAGGACTAAAAGTTAGTTAACAAGATTTTTTTAATGGACTCACCTCAAAAGAGCTTCATCAAGCAGATTATTTTTGTTTGTCATACCAATGAGCAACACATTGTTCAGTGCTCCCACACCATCTATCTAAAAAATGGATTTTTGAAATTCAGTGTTAGTTTAATTCATTTTTGTTGATTATACAGTTTGACTTTAAATGGTTGGTCAAACCTTTGTAAGAAGCTGATTCACAATGCTATCGTGCACCCCTGTGCCATCCCTAGTAGAACCTCTAGACTGCAAGTTTACAAAAATAAATTATGATGAATATTTGAAAATGAAAATTAAAAAATTAAAAAATGTCAGAATATTAAAATATGGGATTGACATACCTTGCCAATTGCATCAATTTCATCGAAAATGATGACATGTAAGTCACTTTGATCCCCTGGGAAAATATGAACAAAAAGGTAAAAAAAAAAAAAAAAAAAAAAAAGAAACAAACTTGTATAAAAGTCAAGATTTTTTAATCCTACCTCATGATCTTTGATCTTGTTCAGCATCAGAAAATAAGTCTCTTACATTTTTCTCAGTTTCACCAACAAATTTACTCAACACTTCAGGCCCATTTACAATCTAATTTGTACTTTAAACAACACAGGGAGTCATACCAACAACAGAGAGTCATACCACAATAGAAGAAAAGAAAAACGAAATGAGAACCTAATTATATGACAATTTGATGAGAGATGGTTTGAATAATTGGGAGCCAGAAGATCACACCTTTCTAGCACGTGTATGCATAAGAGGTTCTAGCAAATTACCTTGAATGGATGGATATGAGGCTTTATTCACATACTTCATTCCATATATCTGTTTAATTTTTAAAATCACTAAACACATGTGTAGGACTCAAAAAACGTGCCACCACACCCATTCACAATCAAATGTTGGACATTCACAATCAGTGGTTCTAAGCACGGTGGTGTATCCCCTACAAAAGGATTAGGTAGGCTTCTTACAGTGATAATATGATTGATAGTTAAATATGTGAATTTTAGTTAGTTATTACCTCATAAGGATTCCTAATAACTTCAACCCACCACTTGAAAACATCATAAGGACTTGCTTTAAGAAACCTTAAAAGCCCAAATAAGTCATCCAGCTTTCTTTGTATTAAGGTAAGCGCATTGCCATTTCTGTTGCAGCAACAACATTACTCTCCACCATTTGACCCTCATCCAAACAAATCCTCCACCAGAATATTCAAGTCAGAAAAGTTGGAATCACAGGGTACTTCTTCTGGTATCTTAAAAGTCGCCTATCCCCTATATTCCTTTCAGAATCATGAGATAAGTCTTGTCTCAGCACATCATATGTTGTTAACACAATGTCAGCACTAACAGATGTGGTATTATAAAGTGATGTCGTTTTAACTCCTTCATACACAACTTTTAGTGAACCTGGACTTGTATGACTGCAAAAAGAAATAAACCATTTACATGAAGGAGCATACATATATACAATAAAGCTGAATCAATAAATAGTAATAGTAGTTGAGGTTTACTGAGTTATTTCAGCAACTGTTTTCTCTATATCAAGAGTTATTCTGACATCACTTGAGAATTGAGATGTTTGTTTTTAATTTTTATACCTTATATAGGAGGGTTATTCTGGAGCTTTAAAAGCCAGGAGTGGTGCATTTCCATTTGCATTTATATAAATATGGAATTTCTAATCTTGATACATAGCTGTAAATGCGGGTTCAAGATTCTCATTTACACTCTTTGTTGGTCTCTTGGGTTTCTGGCGGTGAACGTCCGTGTTATCCAACTCCGTTACTGTTGAATTTGGGTTTTTAGAACCTTTTTGAGCCCTTGCTTTTGCAGGCCCTTTCTCTGTATTACCTTTTCTCTGCAAATAATGTTATATGATGAATTTCATGTTTCATGTCGTTTTTTATGAAAAGACCAAAATAGCCTTCAACATACCTTTTTAGACGAGCTTGGTTTCTCAGAAGGAGAGGTGTTGAACGGATCCGATGGAGGTTCAGGATCCGTAATGTCTTCCAGGCGTGCATCACCTTCTTCATCTATCCTTATAGCTTTCGCCCTACCCTTTCTCCTTTGTCGATCTTTAACCTACATATTTCATATTTCATAATTTATAAAATGACAACCCTTCCCCTTTTAATAATTAATTAATATGATGCATGCAGCAATATGATTTATTAATTTATAGTACCTGAGCTGGAATATCTTTAAGCTTCTGCTCCATCTGTGCATCATCAATGAGTAAAGAAATAACATCTTCAGGGGCTAAAATGTCACCCTGTATGTGACCACCAGTCATCACAAGTTGTTGAACTGTACTTTTCTGGCTCGCTCTATGCAAAATCTTTTCTTCAACCGTTTCTTTGCATATCAACCTGTACACTGTAACCTACATACACATATACATATAAATATAACATACATACATTATTGATAAGGTTATTTTTGGTAAAAAAATAAATAAATAAATAAATAAATAAATGAAGTAAGAAAACTAACATCTTTGGTTTGACCCAAGCGATGAGCCCTGTCCATGGCTTGTAAATCAAGAGTTGGATTCCAATCACTTTCGTAAAAAGTGACAGTGTCAGCAGCTGTCAGATTGATCCCCACCCCACCGGCTCTTGTACTCAGCAAGAATACAAAGATATCATTCCTACAACAGATTGCATATAAATATTTTATCATTTTATGGCGGAATGGAATCAACAGAGGAGGAATGGAATGAGTGATTCTGTGATTCATTCATTCTCACCGTAGCTGGAAGTCGTTGACCATGTCACGACGGTCTATTATGGTAGAGGATCCATCAAGGCTTAAATATCTGTAGTTCATGTAGTCTTGCATCAAAGCATGACCACTTTAGAAAAGAAAAACAATAATAACAATAATTTAGTTGATGATACTGATACTATATCTCGATAATATTCAACATCTTGGTCATTTGAGCAACCAGGAGAACACGATGATTTCCTGCACGCAACCGCTTCAACAGTATATCAAGTGTTTGAAGCTTCCCTGAGTCCTAATCACCATACCATCAATTCAAGTTAGGAATCATTGCAAGAAACATCAATGTTATTGTTAAATAATAATCTTACTGTGAGCATCTTGGCTGGATCAAAACTTTGCATAGGTGGACAAGAACCAGAGATCTTATGAGTGAGCTCAAGAGCAGGTTGTACAACAGGTAGTTCACTATCGATTTCTTGTATCAAATGGTGAATAGCACCATCATTTGGCTAATTAGGTCCATTTGATTCAAAAGTGCGTGCAAATCCAAGCAACACCCTCTTAATCCAACGATTATGTAATTCCTCAGCTTTTCTGTAAGCAAAATCCCTATCTGGACACTCCGCATCAATCTACCAATCACATAAAATAAAAAACAATGTCAACGACTTAAATAACTTGTTTTATATTAATATAATCAGAAAAGAAAACACTTACAGGAGGTGCCCTTATCTGTGGAATGAAGAAAAAGGCTGAATGAAGAAGGCGAACATTGGATACAAGTCTATCTTGATGTGAGATTACCAATGCCTCAAAAGGATCATCTGTGGGTCCCGTTGCAAGTCTTCTCTTAAAAACAGGGGAACCGGTTGCTTGACTCAGTTCTAAGCAAAATGGACAAATGTGGGCCCCATCACAGCAACTGTTTTCTCTATATCAACTCCACCATGGATTATCACACTTCCAAAATCACCTGCTCACATTCAATTTTTTTTAAAATTAATAATATGACATTATAAACCGACAAGATTTCTTTTAACATTAAAAATCGCTATTTATTAATCAAAATTTGCAGAGAAAATACCTTCTCTTTCCTCTTCAGAACTACCCACAAGAGGTACTCCATTAGGGACTTGATGAGGCTTAGATGGAACAATATATCCATATTCTTCATTCATTTTTGCTCCAAGTGTCAGTGTGCATAACACAACATTAAATAAAGAGATAAACAAATAAATAATAAATAGATATAAATATAAATATATAGTTATATACCCCGTAAGCATAGGCCCTGAAGGCATACATAAAATACATAAATATACTTCACATTCTCTATTACACCACATCCATACCATGAAAGATCAAAGCAAAAAGAAAATGTAAAGTACTCTAATAAGAGAAGGAAGAAGATACAGAACAAGATAAGAACAAGTGTGGTGTGGACTTATAAGTAAGGCTGTAGAGGGGTGAATAGGAGGCTGAGATCAATACCGAGCGATGACAGAAGTTCAGCTACCCAGGAAGATGCTAATACCGGAGAAGAACTCTTTTATGAAGTTCAGCATCACGAGTGATTACCGACTTCATCCCGACTGGTTATGATAAACCCTAAACCCCAGAGTAGATGGTGCAAGTGCCAAGGAGGGGCTACTGACTTCAAATGAGATGGCGCGGGTTTTTAAGCCCTTTAGGGTTTATGTTTTCCTGTGTGTACCAAAGATTTTGCAAGAAAGGCGAGGTGAGTGACCGAAATCCTCAACCTCTGTGCACACACCAGGTTCATCCGACTCCAGCGTATTAGCGACCGATTGTTATTACGATTTAAGTGAGATATGCAAAGCCATGAGAGATCTTTATGAAATCGCAGTTTGGGTTTTAGGTTAGAGAGAGAGAGCGGATGACGAAGACCCTAGGCTTCTTTCTTGATAATTGAAAGCGGAGGGGGTTTTAGTTTATGGGGATTTCATTTCCCGCTTAAAACGCATGTTTCATTAAAAAAATATAAAGCGACACACTTACATGACGCACATCTTATGATGGGCGTCCTCCGTATTTTTTTTCTGACACTAATTTCAGGGCACGTAAAAATGCGTGTCCTCTATCCTTCAAATTTTAGAAGAGATGACATTATTTTTAGGGCGCACGCTTTTGCGTATCGTAAATCACTGCGTGTCATTGTTTGCGCGTCATTAAATGGCTATTTTCTAGTAGTGTTCTAAAATTATAATATGACACATAATTTTAGAATATGACACATTACCACAGTATTAATAAAGTGCTATTACAATACTTTACAAAGAGGTTCAAAACAAATTGTTTCTAAAGAAAAGCAAAATGTATAAAATCATATATTACATATTATTTAACAAAATGTTCGAATACATAACACAAATTGAATATCTACATTTATAGATCTTATATACTAAAATTACAACTATATTATCATATATATACTTGTTTCGTATTCTGTTGATCTGTCTTCGATCAGTTGACGATCTATCAGACGAGATACCGTGAACTAAGACTTTTTTTCCTTATCTATTTTTGATGATAAACATTATTGTACATTCTTTCCTTTAGGACAAAAACTCATTTTGCCTTAAATTTGGTAATTTCTTCATTTCCCTGCATCAAAAAATAAAACACGCTTTTGTTAAAACAATAAAACTATGATATAAAGAAGAAATTTATTCTCAAACAAAACAATTATGTTCCGAACCTATTATAAAAGAAAATGTAATGATACAATATTTATAAAATCCTAAGAATTTAAAAGAATGAAAAATCATTTAACAAGCAATTTACAATTAAGGAATTGCATGTTGTTATTTCCAGGTACAATCACAATATTATAAAATACTTCACAAAAGGTTCAAAACATGCTATTTCCAAAAAAAAATTAAAGTCTAAAATCATATATTACACAATAGTTAACAAAAAGGTTGAAAGCAGGCTGTTTCCAACAAAATCAGAATGTTTAAAATTAGAATACGACACACAATTTTAGAATAATTCACATAAGTTGATACTATATCAAATATTATCATAATATTACACATTACTTCACTAAAAGGTTCAAATAAAGTAGTTTCTAACAAAATATTAGTGTCTAGAATACTTTATCCATACTTGGTTTGTTTATTAATACTGAATTTATCCGTCGAGCTTTACAATTATCTTTTCGTTAAGCCTTTGGCTATACCTGAATCATTCCTGGTTTCTAACAAGATCAAAATGACTAGAATATTTATACATCAATACCAATATTACAATATTTTTACGACATCATTTAATTAAACAACAAAATGTCTCGAAAATTTAATAAATAATATCATAATCTTACAAAATCAGAATACATAATGCCTAGATTTTTATAATAATACTTATCAACATGATAGTATTGTGTTAAAGTTTGTACCTTTTCCTTGAAGTTGGTGTTCTAATGAAATGCTAGATTTAGAAGTTAAATCCTTCTTCTTTGTTGGCTTTTTTTTTGCTTTTAATTTCTTCATTATTTTACTTTTATCTGCATCAATAAATTATTGTTAATATAAATAATTTCATAATATTAAGAATATAGATTCATATTAAAAGTTACAACTGCACATCAATGAAAACTAAAACAAACTAATATACTATGTTGCTAAATCAATTAAAACTAAAGTAAAATATCTGAATACTAACGTAAATTGATTACTTATGTCAAACGTTATTAATACTCTAAGAGTAATTAGGATTATTGACCAAAATAGAATATCAGAATACTAGTGTTGTTATAAACCTGGACATATATTGAAACTTAACATTGTATAACATCAATGATATCCAATTAGTCTTGTTCTAGATTTTGTTCTAGAATATCTGATACATAATTTGATGTTATTCCTCAAAAATTATATATAAATGTTTGGTTTAAACTTTTCTGGAATACTAACTCTAATTTCAAGGAATCAAAATAATAACTTTAAAATTTAATGAAATGATGAATAATTAGTTAGATTATCATAACAATTTTGTTGATTTTGAGTTTTCATAAAAACTCAAAATCTTTAATTAGAACACTTTTGAGTTACCCGTAGAGTTAAAATCTAGATGTAAATCTCTCAGGATTTCATATATTCTAGATGTAAATCTCTTTACGATTTCATATATTCTACATAAATATTCTATAAATAT